CCATATTGACTACATTTGCAAGAAAGCCGCGAAGCGTTTGTACGGTCTGCGCCTTCTTAAAAGAAATGCTTTACCTTCTCATATTCTGATCTCAACCTATTGTACACATATTCGACCAATTGTCGAATATGCTTGTCAGGTGTGGCATTATGGCCTTCCTCATTACCTGAGTGAACAAGTTGAAAAAATACAAAAAAGGGCATTAAAAATTATTTTCCCTGGAACTATCTATGCTGAATGTTTGCTTAAAGCTAACTTGATGACTCTTTACGAACGTAGAACTGTTCTTTGCAAGCGACTTTTTTCGAAGATGTTGGAACCCACTCATAAACTGAATGCCTTAGTACCGCCTAAAAGTCTTCAAACTTATAATCTGAGGTCTTATCCCAACTTATTAGTACCTAGGTGTAGAACTGAACGTTTTCGAACAGTTTCATTCCTGCTGCGTCTCGTGCTTATAATAATAAGTAAACTTTAGATTATTATCGTTATTTTTATCTAACTTACCTATTTTTACCTGTAAATATAGAATAGATTAAATACCTATGTTCTTATACCCTGTAATTCCAAAGTAATTCAGTTGTTACTGCTAGTTTGGAAATTTTAATAATAATAATAATAATATATATATATATATATATATATATATATATATATATATATATATATATATATATATATATAACGCGTTCCAAAGAATTTTGAACAATTCCAAACTTCGAATTTTGACTCAAATTTGCAATATTTTGCGGAAATTTCTCATTTTTCTGCCAAAATACGGTATAATTGCCAAGTCAACGTAATTTTGCCCCCAATTTCAAAGAAAAAGGCGATTTCCTGCGAACTTGTGTCGAAATTGTATTGATATATAATCTTGATTTTCGCTGACAGCAATTCTTCTGGCTTACATTTTTGTTATTTTTCTATAATTTGTGCTGAGTGTGTTCAGTCTACTTCCAAAATCAATCAAAATCGAAGGAATTGGTAGAAAAAAGCTTATTTTTAATGTTTTTAGCTAATTTTCGCCGAATATTCTGATAAGTGTTCATTTTACCGCACAATACCAAACTTTTAAACAAAAAAAATGAACTGTCTGCTAAAATGCATGTGCAATAGAATAACTGGCGTAACATATAGGAGTGTCTGCATTTCAGACACCCCTATCGCTGGAAATTGAATAAACGATCATGCAAGATATAGTTATATGAGTGTCTGAAATTCAGACACCCATATAGCTCGCAATAGAGCCTTATATTCTATTGCGAGTTATATGGGTGTCTGAAATTCAGACACTCTTATATTCTATTGCGAGTTATATATGGATGTCTCAAATTCGGACACACTTATACTCTATTGCGGGCTATACGCGTGTCTGAATTTCAGACACCCATACAACTCGCAATAGAATATAAGAGTGTCTGAAATTCAGACACCCATATAACTCGCAATAGAAATTATAGAATATAAGCGTGTCCGAAATTCGGAAACCCGTATAGCTCGCAATGGAAAATAAGGGTGACTGAAATTCAGACACCCATATATGTTTGCCACGCGCTATAGCCTCCTCCGCAGACATCTCGTGGTTCACATACTTTACAATTTTTTTGCCTGCAAGCAAATTTTGCCCGCCAATCTAAAGGGATGCCTGCGGACGAGGCTTCACGCGCTGCTATATTTACTTATCTGGCCTAGAAAAAAACAGTTAGTAGCTACGACTGGACATTTAACATATTCTATCAAATATGAGCTGTATGACCTCTTAAAATAAACAAAGAGACTCTCCAAGTGCAAAATATGACTGAGAGTACAGTGAGCTAGTCAAGAAACTAATGAAACGACAATAATGTTCAGTTGCGGTTAATTGGTCAAAGCACATATCAGATCAGTACGTACACAGCAAAAAATCATTTTCTTATTAAGAAAAAAATTTCTTAATTTAAGAAAAAAAATCTTAAAATAAGAAAATGATTTTCTTAGTAAGAAAAAATTTTCTTGAAATAAGAAATTTTTGAATCCCAAGATATCTTTTTCTTAAAATAAGAAAAAATTTTCTTAATAAGAAAACATTTTCTTAAAATAAGAAAATACGATTTTCTTACTTTAAGAATATGTTCGTAAGACAAGAAATGAAATTCTTAAAATACAAAATTATAAAATAGTAAGACATTATTACTTAAATTTTCGAAGCAAGAAAATGTAAAATGCTAGTGTTATAGGACAACTTATATCTTAACAAGACTTAGAACAACGTATATCTAAATTCAGTGGCGTGCTGGGTACTATTTTTCTGGAGGGGCCAGTGGGCTGTCAACCAATATGCGCCCCTATAATGTTACACTTGATAAACGATTGCCGAAGGCACGAGCCGAGTGCCGCAGGTGCGAGGTTTGTCTAGGGGGGTCCGGGGGCATGCCCCCCCCAGGAAAAAATTTTAATTTAGAGTCTCTGAAATGCCATTTCCTGGACTTTGGGGGAAGATTTGACAGAAATCTGATGGTCAGGAAACGGCATTATAACGTGTCGAAATTTGCAATTTGGTTAGAATTTAGTTGTAGTACTTAAATTATGCAATGCTAACTACTTCCAGCGATTAATTTAACCCCAATTCTGTTCTCTACTGATCTACTGTTCTGAGCACAATTACAACTTAAAGCTCTTTTATACAATAACACATGCACCCCACTCATATGCATTTTAAGGTTTCTTTGCCTGGCTGCCCAAAGGGCATGTTTCAGCATTATTTCATTACTTACATTACTCATGCTTCTTGTGCAAACAACTAAATTCCGTACACAACTTTACATCAGTTATCATAACTTCAACTATCTAATTTACGCCGCCCTCGTGATTCGTGAAGCATAATAAAGGGCATATTATAAGGGCATAATACCAGCAAAAAAGGGCATAATTCCCGTGATCGCTTCGATCGAAACCTGACCAATATTCCGGTAATGAGACATTGCCTGTGATCACTGATGATGTTTTTATATAAACGATTTCGTGTGAGTTGTGAGGTAGCAAATACGGTTAGGCAAGATTGTCTGTAATTTACTATATGTCGCCTATGCGCTTAGTCTGTTTTATACTGTAGCCTATAAACACGTCTTTTCTTGGCGGAAGTAACCATATTTTTTCGAGAATGTGTTTTTGCCCACCCACTTTCAAAATTCGGCGCCCCATTCCCCCCTGCCAGCACGCCACTCCGTTTAGGTAAGCAAGTTTTAATATAGAGTTCCTCTGTTCCAAGTAAAAAAATTAGTTGACACGTTATTTCTAAACTTAATTCGTATTAATGGTATAATTATTAATTGATATTAAATATTGGGAAAGTGTGGAATAATGACAATGCGCTGAATTGTGTTATATATAGCCTACGAATTTGTTAAAGGTAGGTTACAGTCCCTTCTGCGCATGCGCGGGCTTTGTTTACGTTTTTTGTTTTGATCCACATTAATTATATAAGATGAAGTATATGACGAGTTCAAAGTAACATTCCACATAATTTGTGACCGAGGAGTACAATGTTTGACAATACTTCGCTTCATTTCTTGTACATTTCTACACTGGAAATTTTTGTACACAATATAAACACAATCTTATACTGTAACTGTTTAACTGTAAACATCGTGAATAAAGTTATAAAGAGGCCGCTTTGAACGTTGTGGGACTTGCTATATCAACAGCTGGGGCGGCGAACCGAAATCCCGAAGGTGTGAGTTCGAATAATTTGTGTTTACCTTTGGAGTGTCTCATCATGAATATATTTAATGCGGTATCAATCCCTCGAAACATGTTGCCAGTGTTGTTGTTGTCATTATGACAGAAGCGCTTGGCCTTGGGTAAAGCTTTTCGCTTGACGAAATTCGAAACAAGTGTGATTGAGAATGTGGTTGCAGTTCCTGTCTTCGTGGCAAAGCCAAGGGCGAAATTTTTGACCGTGCAAAAGATGGATATACAGCTTTATTTGTTCAAGCTCGTGCGCGCTATGGAGATGATTTCGTTATAAACAACAAAAGAGTTCAATAGATTGACAGTGACGAGAGTACGAGACGCTAAGATTATATTCAACTTTTCAGTTGTGTTATAAATATGTATGTTTTGAAATTATGAACTGGAAGTATGAATTCATTGATATTACTCTCATATTGACACTAAATGATGATATTCTTGTGACACTGAATGATCTAATAGCAATATTAACTTGAACAATTCTGGTCAATCTAGTGATCACGTTAGTTCATCATATCTCTTCAAGACAGAGGACAATTGCTAAATATATGCTTGTTTCGCTGTATATCAGAGCCCATCAGAATGTTCATGAAACACTGATGAAATTTTTATTTACATCAACGAATCAGTCTTTCTTTTTCTTAACAGATTTATTGGGTTATATGATAATACAAATAATTTATAAACAATTATTATTAAAACACATATATCCAAGGGATAGGCATGAATATGACTCAAGGGCTTGTGCTCCCCCCTGAAAGTACTGAATATACTAAATATAATTACAGTTTGTGACATGAATTCAGGTAAGCACCATTCACATAAGAACATGTTTAGGCTAACTTGGAAAAAATCTAGGTTCTTAGGGTTTTACTGTCTAGTCTAGGGTTTTACTGTGTTGTCTGATTTCATGTCACAAAACAGGCCATGGGCATGGCAGCTTGTTCTGACAATATATACCTATATATGGGATGGTGCCACTCTTTGTGACACAAGATTAGGCAATCATAGTACAATATGAAGTGGCTTGTGTTTCAGATTGCTTTGTGTAGGAGGCAATCCATCTAGGAGAAAGAAAGCTCGGATTTCAAACCCCCAGATCCCACCTTGGACAATACATGTAGTGAATACATGATCATTAGAGCTTGGAAATTAGGTTAAATTCTTAAAGAAAAGCGACTCATTTTTGGTATTCGAGGTATAATTTACATGTATATACATATATATAAATTGCGCACAAATTATCTAACTAATAGCTATGCCGCGGTAAAGCTATACTGTAAAGCTGCTAACACTTTATTTATCTCAATGACATTTTCAGTGTTCTGGATCATTTTCATTACTTTGACTTTGTGAAGAGTTTATTTTCTTTGATTTATATACATTTTTAGATTTGATTTGTCTTCATGTGATAAAATAAAAACCTGAATTGCTAGCCTAAACAAATTCTTATTTAGGGTGTCTAAATAAAAAATTTTAGCCTGACAGGTTCTTAAATTGTAGGTTCTTATATGCAAGCTTTTAGTCACAATTAGGGTGAAAAAATATACTAGTAATTATTAATTGAGTTTGTTTACATCATATAAGTTTCTGTGATCAAAATGTTTTATAAACTAAATGTCTTAGGCGGTGTTTATATGGAGGCAAGCCAGCCCGGTTACCTGAGCTATTAAATTTAATTTAATTTTTAAACGTCAATTCTTAAACCTTACACCAAAGTGTGTTTAGTTAATCGAACTACGAATCAAATTTTATAATCGCTGACTTTTTAACAGCTATCAGCACCAAAAAATTCTTACTTTTGCTGAATTAACGTCGGCAAAAATTTGCCGGCCTGGGAGGTTGATAGGTCGGCATTTAGGTCGGCATTGCCGAATGCCGACCTCGTTTTCGAGGGCTGTAAGCTGCTTTGATTAAAATATACTTTGATCAGAGAAACTTTTTATGTGTTTCTATTAAGTGAGCACAATTTGTCCATGAGAAGACAGTCAAAGACAGTAAAGCACGGTCAAGTAGATTAATTTATATCATTTATCATTCTGACAATAAACACTATATAAACAGCCATCCAAAACATGTTGACTTCAAATTGCTCATTAACACTTTTTCATTGACAACTCCTACTCACGAGTATCATATCTTTAGGCCTTAATTATATGGGTTTCAGTTTGTAAATAAAAGAGATAGAACAGTTCGTATGTAACTATAGTGTATAATTAAAATAGTGAATAAAGAGAATTTTATAGTCATTAAAACCTCGATTGATGGGCTTCAACAAGCGATTTCACTGAAGTGTCCACAGTGAAGGGAGTGAATAGCAGCTATGTTGGGTGAAATGTCCAATCCTTCTTGGATTCTTTTCTTGAAAACCTTTAGTAGAAGCTTGAGGATCAGAGGATGTAGGTTCATGG